AACAACCAACGACCCACTACCTTTAGTAAAACCGTAACGTCAAGAACTTGCTAGGTGCACCACGGGCGTCCTGACGGACCGCCCCCCCCCCCCCGCCTATGACATGTGACTCCGCCCTGACTAAAGATCCTAGTGCAGGGCCCTCCCTGGCCCTTCTCTGCCGTCATCCCTTCTCCGCCGTCATCCCTTCTCCCCTCCTTCCCCCTCGCAGGTCACAGCTGGTCATTCCGGCCTCATCCCTGCACTGCCCGCGGCAGACCCAAGGATGCCCTAAAACGGGTCCTTCTGGGACAGGAGAGTGATGGGGTGTTGGCTGGGCCGGGGCCCACGGCCCAGAGAATGCTGCTGCGCCAGAGGCCCTTGTGAAACTTTTTCCGGACAGCAGTGAGGCTGAAAATCCCCAGGCCTCCGCCTTTTCGGACTGCCAAGGTCACGGCTCCCTCGCTCAGGGATCCCGCTCTCTGCCGCCCTCTTCTGGTCATCTCCCGCCGACTGGCGCAAAAGGACGCCAGCCCCACATTCACATCCGTACCACGTAGAGCAGCTTCCATCCAGCTTTGCTGCCAACAGGGCACAGGGGGGCCGGGCTGGACGCTCCCCAAGGCCTGGGATCTGGGTTGTCTCCTTGATGCTTCCTGCAGGTCTGACACTCAGTAGATGTCCTACCAAGAGAAAATGAATTCATGGATTGGCTCAGTAGTCAAAGAGGAAACTGAGGCCCTGAGGAGGGAACACAGTGAACTGGTTGCATATGCAGGAAGCATACCGAGCTCGCCAGGTGCCCAGGGTTTTTTCTGCCTTAGCTTCATCCGGGAACGAGTCCTGGCCTTTTCCTGCTCAACCTGAGTCAGACTTTCTCAGTTGACTGGGGCTGCCCTAGGAGAAGTAGGTTGTCCCCAGATTGGGGCAAGTGGCTCAGATTGGGGAGGTGGGCGGTGAGGGTCTGGAAGCCAGCCTGCCTCTGCTGGGCACCCAGGCTGGTCCTGCCTGATTGTGCTGAGCTGGCCCACACCTGGGCGGATGATGCTGCTGACACAGACACGCCCGTGAGCCAGAGGGCATGGAGGTGCCCCAGTCATCTCCACCCCACCCACTGCCTCCACCATGGCGTCATTACCTCTCCAAAGGAAGACACCAAGGTTCAGAGAGGCCAGAGTTGTCAAAGGCCGTTCTGCACCTGCAAGTCTCTTTCACTAGACCCTGGAGCTCCCCTAGGAGTCTCACTCCAGCTGTCCCTCTGAGACAGCGCCACCTGGTCCCCATCCCAGGACTTCCAGACAATGATGCCGCTCCCTTCTCTTCTAGTTGCTCATTGTAGGAAAAGGGAAAACATAGAAAAGCAGAGAGAAAGCAAAACCACCTGAGAGACCGTCCCATTGATCAGCCCCACTCCCCAAATAGGCCCGTTAACTCTGCTGGAGTTAACTTTACTGGAGTCAAATGGATTCCTCCCTGGCTACTTCCTCCAGGACTGAACCCCTCCCTGACCTCTCTATGTGGCCTCACCCAGTCCGCTTGCAACCCTCACTCCAGCCCAGATTGTCCCCACCCCAGGGTCGGCCTCCATGCCCTTCTCTCTTCTGCTGTCCCTTTCCCCATTGTGCCTGCCTTGGTTGGTGACAGCTCAGAAGCCCTGTGGGGTCATTGGTGCTAAGATTTCATGTCTAAGTGAGGTAACTGGGTCAGCCACTCTGTTGCTCCAAGACTTTCTGTGGCTCCCAGGCAGACAAGCGAAGTTCTCAGATTACTCTGGCATTCAAGGCCACACACCATCCTGCCCCAGTGCCATTCCAGACATTATCCCTTCATGCTGCAGGCCAACA